TTTAAGTCATCGATTCTAAGCTTAATTTCGTAACTTCACTTTGAAACTTAATCAGTTAGCGTTACGACTGTTGCTTCTGCTTATGGAATTTTTAGAAGAGCTAATCGATTAATTTGTTCATCATTTAAAGGACAGAATGAACACGCTTGTCAGAGTCGGTAATAGAGCAGTCCTATGACTGCATGAGCCTTGGCACAGACATGAACTTTGCGTAGATTTTATGACTTTTGCCGTGTTTGTTACCAAAAATCTGCGAAATCTCCAGCAGCAGACTTTCGGCTGCACCATCTGTATCACACTAAAAGATTTGCCTTCCCGTACGAATTGAAACTGTTTTGGGTCAGTTACGTCACAAAATGCTCGAAGCTGTCTTTACGTTAATTTTTAATGTATCAACTAACAGTTGGACCAGATACTCACTCCTCAAATATACTCACTCCTCAAATATACTCACTCCTCAGATATATTCACAAACGTACCCGGGAAAGATGTGCGTTAGAGATAACAAAATAGGAAGAAGAATGGATGCATCAGAACAGAAACAAACGTCTGCAGAAAAAGAATGAATGGATTAAAACAGGAATGAGTCTCCAATGTCGCTGAAAAAGTTGAATTGACAGTACGTGGGGCACATTCCTGGAAGACCTAGCTCTCTCTAAACCAAGTGGCGTAATCTTGAAGGAGCCTTCTTGTTCACATCACAGAAACTGGTAGTCCCATCGAAAGTTGAAGAAAGGAACACTTTCAGAACCGTTCGATATGCATATACCGTAGAGCACGTTTCTATGTATATTTTCTTCAAGCAGTTCTGATATTTATTTCAGCTATCGTTAAATATATTCTTGATTCTTTCAGAGAAACTTGTCCAAATTACTTTCTACGAATGCGCAGTGGACGGGCCTTTGCGGTTGTCTTTAGCGTTTGCCGATGTGCAGTTGCCATCTTTCGCCGTTGTTGAACCGAGCAAAGGACCGGGAAGGAAGCCGTTATGATAGTTATTGCTTTTAGTATTTTCAGTGTAACTTCATTCACTAATGCAAGTAAAATCTTCCAATTGCTTTGCCATGTTCCATACCTATACGCTAATTTGGACAATCGGTTTCACGGCGGTTTTTTCACGTGTTACTCAAATATTGCAATCTTTTACTGTCCGTTTTTTCATAGATAACTGGGTGATATCCACCAATTTTCCGATGAACGCTCCATCGGAAGAAAGTCAGCTGAGCACTGCTGTACGCAGTGGCGTCGAAGATGACGACGTTTTCAGCGAAACTTTCGTGCCAGCAGCTGCAGGGACTGACCGAATTAAAGCCATTTTCACCAGAGAGTATTTCTCGTTCATTCATGTTTTCTGTGGTTAATTTTAAAGGCCTACGATTTAGTGTACGGAATATTCCGTCGTTTGAAATGTCCATGCTGAAGAACATCGGATTCGGTTCTTTCTTCGTTGCAACACTCGTCGGAGGCACCGCCGATATTCCATTCGCGGCCGAGCGTTTCAAATCACAACACTCTTATTCGTTGTTCGTCAGTCAACGTGACGCCGCTGTATGAAAGAATGATCTTCTAATCATTTGCTTCAATATGGTCAAATTTTGCATTTGTCAGAAGGTGTACCGGTGGTTCGCCTGAGAAACTGTAATTTTGAGGCGAACATCTTTACACCTATGAATTCACTAAACTCTCTCCCTTGTCACAAATTTCGTGTGCTTTCACAGTTAGGCGTTGTTTTCTGTCTTCATCGTCTTGAAGCGTTAGCGTTAGCACGCCTCTAATTATTATTCGTACTCGTGTCAGGACCATCAGCAGTGTCTTGTATTCGTTTGGTCTTTTTTTTTACATGAATGAAACAAAGAAGCATGCTTTCGATAGCTCGTTCTTTTCTGATGCTACACGTAGAGTGCCTTTTATAAGGTATTCCAGATATGGTCTCTGTTGCTGACATAACACTTTCATTTGAGCATTTGCATTTCTACCAAGCTCAGTTGTTGGTCCTGTTTCTTCATGATAGCCAAACATTCCGCTCTGTACCAAGCACCAGTGTTTTTGTCGTTCTGAACACCTGCCCCTTTCGTTTGATGAGCACCTTTCCATTTGAGCCGACTTTTTTCAGCCAATTTCTTGATTCACTGTCGATTTTCCGATTGGCTTGCAGGATAGAGCCGGAGCACGCGAATTTTTTATTTTGACACGCCACACTCCGGATTACTTTCACGATTTCTTTGGTTTTCAGCCTGCTTTCTGCTGTGACATAATCCGCTATTTATTCTGACTTCCTCTGCTGACCCGAAGGCCATGCTTCTTTATGACTGTTCTCCATACGTCGGATTTTGCTTTCAACGTTTTGTCTATAGGTCAAGCAGTTTTGGCCGGCTGTTTCCTGCAAATGTTTAGTTATAGTTTCTGTCCCCGTCAAAAGTATTGATGGACTCATTGCTGAACCTTGTTGCACCTCTACGCTGGATTTCTTCCGCTTCGTCTAATGTACTTAGAACTATTGGGGTCACTCTGTCGTACATATATTTTGTAGGCTCGACATATTTTCTGGAATCAGGTTTTTTCTCATGCTCACCAAAGTGTCTTCCTCATTATTTGATCAAAGGTTTCTCCAGATCTAGAAACACTATTTGAATGTCTTTGCTGCCTTCGCTGTATCTTTCAAGCATATAGTAACTGAGGTGCTCATGAACCGTAAACCATTGGATTTAATCGCGAAAAGAAATTTTAGTATTTTAGGGAAGGCATTTGTCATTTTTTTGTTTTTCTAATTTTAACAAGTCTTTTCTGTCGAGTAATTTAATCAAACAACCGCTTAGCTAAATGTACTTCTCGAAAAGTATAGTCATTTGCTGATGGCTTGTAGCATTTTACTTTGTAAGTTCGCCTCAGAAGTTTGAGATCGATCGGTTTTATCCAGGAGACCCTTACCTAATTGACTTATTGTTGTCCATGTCTATCTTTGGTATCTACTGTAGCGACGTCGGTAAAAGACTGTTTCGCGCTTCGGCTTGACTCAGTCACCGGTTGAATTTTTCAAAGAATTCGGTACTCTTCGTCTGTTAGCGAGCTGTCGGCGCTCCTTCGGTGTAAATGCGAAAGATTAAAACGTATATTTAATGGCTCCTAGTATCAAAATGTAATGTTTCGCTAATAAGCCGATTTTTAGATCTAGACTACGTGTAAACTTGATTTGACGTTTGATAAGTATGGCTGGACGAAAAGATGTAGCTGTACTTTATTTAGAGCATACGGTGTGCTTGTGATCGGACGTTTATTCTTTTTTACTTTTAGTTCAGTTAAAATTAATCATTAAAGTTCATAGTGTTTCTCATGATTTGACGTTAATTGAAAGCATAGCAATGAAAAGTTGATTGAATTGAATGGATTGGAAGAGCGTCATCGCTGGAGATAAAATGAATAGTGTTGATGACATTTATTTACAAGTGCCTAACGCATAATGGGTCCTGAAGATGCGAATACGAGCGGTAAGCATTGCGCGGGGCGAAGTTTAAAAGCATCATGCAGGGAATACAGCTTGTGCTTGCCAGAAGTCAAAGTAAGTTGTACGATTCTGTAGCAGCTGTGGGAGACTGAGTAAGGCGCACCAAAGATGGTTATTATTGCCGTGAAAATTTGGCTATGCACAGAGGCAGTCAGTTGGACAGTTAGGTTTGCAGTTTGCGTAGTAGATTCATCGCTCCTAACGTGTAGTCCTTGTCCAAGGCAGAATTTCCGCAAATACACAGATAACGTTTTTAAATCAGCACCTTTGATCATTATTCCTTTGAGGATTACGACTAGACTTGATGATCATTGTTAACATGGAAATGAATATTCCATGTTTTATTTCTCATAATTAAGTCTTTTATCCTGTTTTCTTTCGAGGTGTATTTGCAAAAGCATGTTGTCATAGGTGCATGAGTTGTCAGTTTTATTACAACCAGTCATTCGGTTTTATTACAACCTTTCACGAATGCCACAGCGATTGAAGGAACGTAGTTAACAAGTTTCTCATGCATTTCTACCACATGTACTCCGTAATTGGCCCCTTATCGAGTTTTCTGCCACGAATAGACAAGCCTGGTTTTATGCACAGCTTACCTGAAGTTTATTGGTTACTTTGGTTTTTTATTACTATCTAAAGAAAACTAAGCCAAAGTTCAGAAAATGGTGTAAGTAAATAGCAACACAGTCGAATTAGTGCTTTTGTGGCTCAGTGACGTGTTGTTACGGTGTCTAAAGTATCGACATTTCGAAGTCGAGCTACGAAAGTGCTGGATTCGATTCCGCTCGAGAGCTCTTTTTATTATTCACTAATTCTCTTGAGCAGTGCTTTATTGCACATTGCTTCAGATCTCGCTTGGTTTACTTCTGTTTTCTCTGAGCTGAGATTTCCAAGTTTGATAAATGAGTACCACTGTGTGAAAAGGAAACACGTTTCTACACGCTACGCTTGCCATTTGGCTGTAGACTTATAAAAAGTGAAGCACTGATCTTATGGCATAGAGACGAAGTTCAGCAGTGCATCATGAACTTCACGAAAAGAAGAGCGCCAGAATTGCCCAATCATGGAAGGTAAGGAATACCGTCATTCCAGCGGTTACAAATTTTCGCTTCCTTTCTTCTTAGCTTAAATTACCTACCAAGATATCCGCCAATAAATGTTTTCAGTGGTTAAGCGGCATAGCGGGAACATTAAGTACGTTTAAGCGGTTGGTACTTGGTGACCTTGTAGTACCATTGTGTAAACCAGGTAGTGCACAAGATTTGCTCGTGAAGCTGCGAACATTAAGCTTGACCAAATTATTTGAAGAAAAAAACTACATGGAGTGGAATTACATCGAAAAGGATTCAGACCTGCTCTTTACTGTCCCATTGTCTTTTTGTTTGCCCTTGTAAACATGGACTGATGATTATTCAACTCTGGGTTTGATTTGCAGCGTCAATAAGAGTTACATGTACAATGCTTTCGTTGTTAAACACTGAAGTAAAAGATATTGGCTTCATTTCAGTCTCGCCTGAACAACTACATGTTTTTGTCGTTTTGGAGGTATGGTGCACGGCTCGGATTTCGCTGTTGTTATTTCAGCGTGGCATACCTGTAAGTGAATTATGATTCGGGTTCACTTGTTCATGCACACTTTGCCTTTCAGCCTCGTCGCTTCGCTGCTGGCTGCCTACAGAAATAAGTTGAAAGCTTACGACTTTATCATTGGCGGAGGTAAATCTCTCGCATTTCATTACTTCGTTTAAGTTCGAGGTGATGTCATTTCTTAATGAGGTGCTTCAGCGTTTGAGTCTTGAAAACCCCGTAAAATTTTCTGAATTTGAAACTTCGAATTCGGATGTCACATGTATTCAACAGCACCTCTTCATTTTTCAGTTTCGTTTAGAAATTAGTGTCGTAAAGAGTTTTATATTGTGTAGGGTGTTTGCATAACTTACGTGTTCCAATTTGGTGCGACAGTAGTAACGGAAATATAATATAGGTTTTTTTCAGAAGAGAACTGTTTTACTTTGCGAGCGAAAGAGTTGCTCGTTGCTGCAATGATATGCAGATCGCAAGGGTTTGACGGTCAGCGAATTACAATACTGATCGTGTCGGCGTAAATGGAATGACCGAAACGTAATGCATAGAATATGGGTTGATTGCATCGCGACGATGATGGAGCATCTCAGTTCATTTTCGTCAGCCGTTCATTTTTTCATGACGCGGAAGTGCGCACGTCCATCCTTCTTGATCCCGGGACATCGCCTGATCTCCGGCAGAAGACGACCCGAGTCTGAATCAGAGTTCGTCGACGCGCTTGTCCCAGCTTCTTCTTGGTCTTCCGCGGGTTTTTTCTGTCGGGATGTGGAGCAAGCAATGGCTACTGCATCTTCCTTTATAGAAACACCGGTCAAAGGTTTTTCCATACCTAACACTAGAAACTTTGGTACCATTGCAGTTTTTTTACAGCCTTTGTCCGAAGAATTTCACTCTCGGTGCCGCTGGTCCCTGAAACACCACGGTAGCTCACCTTTGAGAGAGAGAGAGAGAGAGAGAGAGAGACTACACGCATGAGCAGAGGTTACATAAGTTCAAGCTTCGGCGATACTCTACGAAATAGTACAGAAAACAGCACTGCCTTTGTTTCTAAAGTATGACCGTTTTTACGCGCTCTGACAAAGAAAAGTTGTTGCTCCAAGCGAGACTGAACTGCTTTTGGTTGTCTGTCGTTTTTGGAATAGAATAATCTTCTGTTATTATGAATTTGTAAGTACGCGGATCCGAAAGATTACTGGAATTTATGCTGAAAATGTTCTTTCAGCACGCTTATGTGACCGTCAAATGTTTACCCGAGCGTTACCTCATCGGCTGTTTTAAATGTAGTGTCATGGGCATATTTCATTATACATGACGTTGATGACCTTGGTCATGGCATTTGTTGGCTTGACAGTGGTTATGCTACCACGTTTAAAATAGAAACTGACAAGGATTTTACAAATATGATTATGTCATCAATACTGTTTTATTGTAGCACTGCCCAATGATCATAAGCGATTTTCTAACCCGTTGCTACTGTACAGTGTCCTAAAAACAATTAGCACAGCTATATTAATGAATTACTGTTTCTTCAAGGTTATTTTGTTTGATAGCTTTTAATTATTAACACCAGGTAATAATTTGCCTCATTTTTAGTGGTACCTTATAATGATTATTTTCTGTTCTTAATAAAAATCTCTCATTGGCAGACGGAAGTGAATGCCAGTGAGTAGCTGATGAATTTCGGAGAAATACGAATGAACGCGCATCCGACTAAATATTAATATCGTAGGTTCAGAATCAAAGGCAGTTCTCTAATTACATGCTTAAAACTTCGTTTTCTTCATTCAACGCTTAAACAGCCATCGTTGTTCATTTTCGTTTTTTTCTCTTTTTTTAAGATGTTATCTTTTAGCTGTGTCAGGAGCAGTTTATCGATGTAATATGGGGTTGCGAGGAAGCCTGGTGACCGGCCTCGCAGGCGCCTGTTTATCGTATGTTTAAATAATTTTATGTCCACGCTTTACCATCGTTCTTTTTTAGTGCACCATTAACTTTGCTCTTCTATTCTGTTCTGATCTGTTCCGGATACAAGGACTTCGATGGTTTCTATAAAAACTGTCGTCAGGAATATTATCGTTCAGCGGTGTACGTTTCTGTGCGATGACACGACGCTTACTCAAAATCAAAATTTAGACAGAAGAAAAAGGAAAAGTTGGAAATCGATTTCATCAAGAAACAGTACAACTTGTCGAACTCTGAAGCCATTGCCTTGTATAAGAAGCTGCAGACGCAGAAAACGACTGATAAGGAGAATGCCTGAGGTGATTACAATTTCGATTGTTGCTTTACTCTAATTTGTTTATGCGAATATTAGTATTTATTTCTTTAGTTTTTCGAACATCTTCCTATGGAGAATTCTGTGCCTCCTAGCCTTCTGAATGAAGCCAACTATTCGTAAAACCAAACAAGGTTGTTGCCAGGTTGAGCTGAACTATCACACTGTTTGTTGTAGTTCTATCGATCTTTAGTAACTGTGCCCAGCGAGTGATGTGTATTTTCGGGTTTCTTTGATGTCCAGTCATATCTGCGTCCATTAGACTGGCTAAAATATGCATTCTAAGTTTTTAATTGTTAATTTGTCAATTTTTAGATTTATTTCAGGATTTTTTGCCTCATTTGCATTGTTTTCTCGCCGACTGGTGACTACAAATTTACCATGAAATTAAAAAGTTCGACTTAAAATGTTTTTTTTCAGAAACAACTCGTTATTGTCTGCTGTCGTTTTATTCGGTGACGAACTTAAAAACGAGTATAACTCCACCAAATCGGTTTTCACTGGGTGGACATGAGATGCGTCCGTAGTCCGCAAATTATAAAACGCCGTTCGAAGTGGCCTGCTTAAATGGTCATTCTGGACATGTATAAGCAAGGGCAGTTCTTAGTGGATCAATGTTTAGGGTTTTTCTCGTTAATTGATTATCATTCTGCAGTTAAATTACCGTGGCGGAGTATATACTAGACAGAAAGTAATTAATCAAATTTGCCACTGTAAGGCTGAAATATAGTCGCACTTCGAGGGTGATAGACATGCCCTGTTGTTCGAACAAGAGCCTTGTAGATAAGCATCATTTCAAAGGCAGACGGACAACTTTGGTCTGCCGTAAAATGGGTATCTTTTTCTAGAACGAAACTCTCGTTGATCTGATTAGTGCATATAGTACTTCCTAGTATTAACTCATGACCGCCTTGTATCTAGGGTGCTAATCGTTTTAAATATAGATACAGTTCTGCAGTTGAAGCATAGAGACATTCTGAAGCATTTACCCGAAAGAAGTGCGTGCTTTATAAATCGTTTAATTTAACCTGTTTTGAAATGGCTCAAGGTTGTACATGAGGAATGGCGCCGCGCCTTCCTCAAGATTGAGGTGTTATTTGATATATGCCAACATAAAGTTGTTGTTGAAATTTTGTCGATCCTAAGTCTGCCTGCATCACAACCAGAAATTAGCCCAATATACCAAAGTTTTAGACCTGTCGTGCATGTGAACAGGTATCTTCAGCGTTGCCTGTCTCAACAAACTCGGTGACCTTGACCTAGCAGGAACGATTTATTGCTATTCATTTATTCGCGAAATACGATCCTTTGGTGATTGCTGGCAGATAATTGACCGAGTAACTTAGCAACACAATCTGCTCAGTATTATCAAGCGCGTTTAACCGTGATGTCAAAAAAGTTGCGATAGTCAGTGATGAAATTTAAAACATGAAATGCAGTAAGCAGGTAAAAATAGCAAAATCAGAACAATTGCTAAATTTTTTGATTGTTGTGTATTGTCTTCTTTCAGCGATCGTAGGCTTTACGGATACTGTCATGGGGAATGTGCTGTTTCATTACCGAAATCATGAATAAGGACGACTTGAAAACTTGTTGCCAGGTGAAAAAATTCTTTCTGGCGATCGTCAGCTTGAGCCATGGCTATCAGTCTGCTACACAAGCAGAAGCTTGCATCTGACCTTAGTAATCGGTACGATGATGCACCAGTAATGGTTGTCTGAGTACAAAGAAAGATTATCATGTGAGTACTGTGTGTTTTTGTTTGTAATTTTATATGAAGATGAGAAAGATCAACTGGAAAGCTATATCCATGCCTCGAGTATTCACCTATCTCAACAATGAAAGTTCTATGCAGTACTTCCTCTTTTGACTCTGCAACGTACTATTCCAAAATGCCGCCGTTATGTTGTCGTACCTTATCATGTTCGGCTAAAATTTCTGTTATAATACGCGTTCATTTTAATAAATAAGGGTAATGTTATAAGAAGTTGTCATGGTTGCATTATAGTAGAATACTGCACTGTTGTAACACCCGACTTTTTCAATGCGCATTACTTTTGGCACTCTTTATGTGTATTGTAGCATACAGAAATATAATTGTACTATACCATAATACTCCCTGGTACTGCGCAGCGTTAAGTTAGGAGTTTCTTTTCAGTAATATGGTGCTGGTCTATAAATTTTCATAAATGTCAATACGAATCTCTTTGGGCGTGACACAAGATTCTCTTTTCAATGCCATTCCAATGTTCTGGCTTTCACCACGGAAGCCATCATCTGGTGATCATCACACATAATGGCTTTTGTGTCAGAACCCGAATCGTTGGAATGGAGAAGATAGAATGTTTTTGTGTCACACTCAGAACCATTATGTTTTCAAAAGAGCCAGATTTTAAATAACATTAGCATGTGTTGAAAAGGACATTCCAAAGGTAGTGCTTTCATGTAAGAAACTAATACAGTATCATTTGCTATGTTTATTCGAACCCGTATAATAGTCCATAATGGCAGCAAATGCTTTTTTGTTCAGGTTCCTCCGTCAGATAGGTATTATGTTTTTGCATTCCAACAGTTTTGAATAAGATGAAGTCTAACGAATAAAATTAAATTTATATCGCATAGGAAGCAAAATATTACGTGGCATTACGCTGTTGCTTAGAAGTGTTCCGCTGCTCCATATTTTTGCTGTTACGCTGCATTGTGCTAAGTGATTGAACTCACTTCTAGATAGACCGCAGTGCAAGTCTGGCACAACGATTGACTTTGCAATCATATCTAATATTGCATAATACAGAATCTAATGACCAATAGTGATAAGAAATGTGGGACGTCGAAATCTTTTGTGACTTCCAGTAGGTCAAATAGTATAAACTATGTCAGTATATATCTATACTGAAATGGAACAGCATTAGACCGAATAATATCACAATGATTCACAGCGGTATAATAATACGCCGTATGCTACTTGCTGATATACCATTCTGAAAGTATAATATGCGAAATGGAGGAGCTCTATATTCGATAGAATAATCTGTTGTCACATTTTGCATATTATGTTACCAAGTACTTAAAGAAGTCACCAACTGTAAATATCTTTCGTCGTCAGGATAGAAACATGATAGTAAGAATTACGCACTTGATGCAGCTGACCACTGGCCAGTTATGCAGATTCAATGCGGTGACCGCAGAACCGAGTTCTATTACCAACTAGCGTTCGGCGACAAATCGGCTGCAAACGTCCCATTCCGGTCTACGGCGCTGATTGTTGGCCGACTACTCTGTCCACAGAGAAGAAATTCATGGTAACTCTGTGTAGGCTGTAGTGGAAAGTGTGCAAGACTTCTTTCCGTCATATCGTTCTTTGAGCACAACTTTGACACTGAACCAACTAATGGATCATCTAATGTAAGTTCTACCTTCTACGACCCCATGGTGGAACGGGCCTTTCAGACCGTTCTCCTGAGAGACAGCTGGTTCGCGTCAGGAATTGCTAACTTGGCTCCGCTGGACCACGAACTTCGAGTCGGTCATCGATGATTACGATGGAATAATCCGATGGTCAAATAAAGCAAAAAGCGGGAAATGGAGATTGTTTGAGGCGTTCATACAGTGCCAAAACCAGGAAAACTCGTAGGAGGGATGGCAGATTTTAGCATTACATGACAGCATTCTTATATTCTAAAGTTGGAATCGACTTTTATGGCACCCTATGCCTCTAATGTGTGGCTTTGGTACAGAATGCTTTAATGTAGTAGCATATAATGTTGTTTAATAAGTCTGTATGATTTAGTAGTATCATACTGTATCGTGTACATTAATCAATGAGCGTAATTGTTATACCGTGGTGACGTTTTACAGTTCAGTGTGATTCTTTTTATAGTTTTAGCTTCTTGCAACATCGTGGTTAACATTTTGGTATTTTTATGTGTTGCTACGAAATACCGCAACATACTCTATTGTCACACTGTGATATCACATATAGTTCCAACGGCTTTCTGACACCGACGTTTTGGTATGTGTCTCACCACCCTTCTTCAAGGTAGGATGGTGGTAAATTTTTTTGAGGTGATTGATCGTCCGTCTCAGTCCATAGTTTCGATCAGTGTTGCTGGTTAAATCATTTGTGTGCGACAGGGACACCGAATCTGATCCAATCCGCACAGAGTTCGTATCGTTTGTTATAGTTGACGTTTTGGTAGAATTTGATGATTAATGTCTCCTTTATCTGCTTCTGAAGTCAATGCCTCTTTGATGACGCCGCTACGCTCGGACCATCAGAAGGAGCATCCTTGTTTGACTGCATGTTGCACAATCCAAGAAGTCTTCATGCGTTGCTCCTTGACTTAGCCACGGACGAAGCTTTGTTTCCTTCCTGGATTTATCATTATCGCCTCACGCTTACATTCGTCTCCGATCATCCATCTTATCCAATTTGACAGGCAGGTTTCTTCTCTTCCTGACGGTGTTCCCTCTTTTTTCTATGTATCATTTCTCCCATTTAAATTTGTAAGCCCAACCTAGAGAGGTATTATTCTCTAACTTATTTAATGACACACTGAGTTTATTTTGAGCTTTTACGTATAACATTAATTTCATATTTAGCTATCTTTGTAATTTTCACTCATGTTTTTACGATACGGTAGAGTTAAGTGAGGTTTGTTATTAGTTTTGTTGGTGTACAAATAGATTTAAAATGGCTTATTCTACGGTTTGTATTATTGACGAATTTAGCTGGATAATTATTGTTATTGTATATGGTTAATTTCATACTTATACATTATTTCGTCATTAAGAAATTCATTGCTATTAAAGCTATGACAACAGAGCGTTTAATGTTTAAATGATCATGAGTTGAAGTTTAGATATTTGTCAGTGTTAGTAGGTTTGCGATAAACTTTAGTTTTATAGTAGTTACCAGAGTTAAATATTATGGCATCAAGAAATGTCAGGTAGCAGTTGTCTTTTCTTTCGATAGTTAACTCGAT